GAAGATGGTAGTGGTGATCATGGTGACGATCATGGTGAGACACCAGCTGCTGAGAACCAACCTACTGTTGTTAGAAGATCAGAGAGAGGTCTTAAACCGTCGACAAGGTATGATCCTAGTGAGTATGTTTTACTTACTGATGGGGGAGAGCCTGAAAGCTATGATGAAGCTTTGGAGGATGAACACAAGGATATGTGGTCTGGAGCCATGGATGAGGAGATGGATTCTTTTGAAGAGAATCATACATTTGAGTTGGTGAAATTGCCTAAGGGCAAGAAAGCTCTGCTTAATAAATGGGTGTTCAGAATTAAGCATGAGGATACAGGTTTGCCACCTAGATTCAAGGCTAGATTGGTTGTGAAAGGTTACAGCCAAAAGAAGGGGATTGATTATGATGAAATCTTTTCTCCTGTTGTGAAGATGTCATCCATTCGGGTTGTTCTTGGATTGGCAGCGAGCCTTGATCTAGAGGTTGAGCAAATGGATGTGAAGACTGCTTTCCTTCATGGTGATTTGGAGGAAGAGATCTACATAGAACAACCAGAAGGCTATGTGAAAAAGGGCAAAGAAAATTTGGTTTGTCGTTTGAAGAAAAGCCTTTATGGATTGAAGCAAGCACCGAGGCAGTGGTACATGAAGTTCAAGTCTGTTATGGGGGAGCATGGTTATGCAGAGACTGATTCAGACCAATGCGTATTTGTAAAGGTGTTTGGTGATGATGATTTTATCATCTTGTTGTTGTATGTCGATGATATGTTGATTGTGGGCAGGAACATGGAGAGAATTAAGGAGCTGAAAGATCAGCTAAGCATGTCCTTTGCCATGAAAGATATGGGTCTAGCGAAACAGATTCTTGGTATGAGAATTGTTCGAGACAGAGGTGAGAAGCTGATTCACTTGTCTCAGGAGAAGTACATTGAGAAGGTACTTAAACGGTTTCACATGGACAAGTCTAAAGTGTTGAGTACTCCTCTTGCTCCGCACTTAAGATTGAGTAGTCAACAAAGTCCGAAGACATATGCTGAGAAGGAAGATATGGCGAAGGTTCCATATGCTTCTGCAGTGGGTAGTTTGATGTATGCCATGGTCTGTACAAGACCGGATTTAGCCTACGCCGTTGGAGTTGTCAGCAGGTTTATCTCCAATCCAGGAAGAGAACACTGGAATGCTGTGAAGTGGATCTTGAGATATCTCA